GCATGAACAGTTTCCAACCCCGGAGCTCCTCTTGAGGGGAGGCACGCGCCGCAGCAAGCCGGAGTCCGGCTCGCAAAGCGGCACGGACGGTGCCCCGCAGTTTTGCAGGCACGCTTTGGAGGGTATGCACGCATTTGCGGACCTCGTCCTCAAGGGATACGGCATCAAGCGAAACCAAGCCTGCCTGAAAAGCCTCTTCAGCGGCTGCTGCGCGCCGCTGCGGTCCGGTCGGCCTATTTGCGGGGTCGGGCTGCACGTCGGCAGAAGCACTGCCAGACGGCATGGGCGGCGGCGCAGTGACTACGATGTGCCGTCCACGCCCTCGCCCGCCTCTGCGGCCACGTCCCCTAGCAGCGGCCGCGTTTGGCGCAGCCCGGGCAGCAATGTTGGCAATTACCTGCTCCGCGCCAGGAACCTGCGTGGGAGGGTCAAGCTGTGTGCTGGTTGCTGAACGTGGGGTGTGCGACCCGCACAGGGACGGTTGCTGTGGTGCGGCAGGCACCGGTGTTGGGGGCAGCAAGGGCAACGCATCCTCAGTTGCAGGTGCAAGTGGTAGGGGCTCAGCTGACCCGCGGGGGGGCGGCGGGCCACAGTCTGCAACACCTTCAGCAGGAGCAGGGGCAGGCATGTCAACAGGAGCCCTCATGTCATCGAATAGCCGTGCCAAAGCAAGCGCTTCAGCCTCACCCCAGCAGGAGGGCAAGAAGCGCCTCCTGCAAAGGGCCAGGGAGATAATATCCCTCATGAGGATCCCCTGCTTCACGGAGGAGGGCAGCAAGCGAGGTGACCTGCGCGGCACGCAAGGAACACCACGCCAAAAAGAATTGCAGGCGTTCGCAGGTGTGGTTAGGCTGGCCGAGCAAACCGTGCTCGACTGCCGACTGCACGTCGCGCACTGACAGGAATGGGCGTGCTAGGAGGGCAGTGACAGCCCCATGCCACCATGGAACAAAGGACGGGTGCGCCCGCCATGCCTCACGCGCGCGACCATGGAGGAGGCCAGCTGCATCTAGCAGCAAGGGCATATACACACAGGAGTTGGTGGCCTGGGGCAGCGGGATCGGCGGCGGCTCGGCATGAACCCAATTGCGGGCAGGCGCCTCCAGCACATGACGTAAAGCAGCATGCGCTGGCTCCGCATCACCCGATGGCGCGCCACGAAGTTCGTGAGCAGCTTCTGCTTCGGGCAGCGGGGCGCCGGGCAGAGACACCCCATTAAGGGGGTTGATGGCGCATGAGGCGGCGTGGCAGGCAGCGAGGCATCAGGCACTGACACCGCGCAGGGCCCACCTATCGAGTCCACATGTCCAATGCGGTCGGCATCAGATGTGTTGGGGGAGCAGGCTAGCTGCTGAAGCGCCAGCGGGTGAGCAGGCCCCGCAACAAGACACCTGCTGCAAACCCACCTCTCCACAGCATGGCGGATGTCGCCCTCCCATGCAAATGGGACACAGCAATTCGGACAGTTTGGCCTGGGATGCGGGACCTGTACACGGGCGGTTGGCAACTCGCGCTGGCACCGCATGCACATCCACATGGGGGTCCACGAACTGATGTCATATGTACCGCGATGTGGGAGCGGGGCCCAGCGCATAGCCCGGCCGGGCAACTCGAGAAAGCCCATTGCCGGGCCTGCCAACCGTGGGCAGCACAGGGCCCTGATGTGGAGCGGCTCCGAGGGTTCTGCGGCATCTGCCCGTGAGAACGTCCGCGTGCTGTAGTCCCTCACCGTTGTAAATGCTGTCTGGGCACCGTCCAACGCTGTGGGCTGCAGCGAGAGGCCAGCCTGTTCGCACCGCAGTGTAAAGCCCGGGTCGTGCAACAGCTGGCGCAAGTCCTCGCGACAATTGGGGCACTGCCCATGGTGATGCGCACATTGCAATGTGCAGGAGAGATGGGCGTACGCGCCACAGCACGGGAAAATGGCGTCGCGTTCGTCGGGCGGCGAGCTAGGGCCATCAAGGCAAACCGGGCAAGCAGCAGCGGGGGCAAGAGGCGTTGCGGCGCCCCCATCACAGGGCGTCGCAGGAGAGGGCACACCGCGTCGATGGGGTAGATGGCACGGGGATTGGGGAGACTTCGCCTGGGCGCGCGCCCGGCGTGTGTTGGTGGGGATTAGAAGCCATGACAGGCAAGTACAAGGCGCAAAAAAATTAAAAACTACAAAAAAAAACTCTCAGCGTCTCCGAAAGTGAGTGCGCGCGCTCCTTTCACCTCGGCTTGACTGTGCAAAGCCAGCGATGGTGCCGCCACGAATGAGTGCGCAAGGAGCACAACTCTGGCACCAGGCAGGGAAATCAAGAGGCAGGTGATGCACGTGGGC